CATTCTGTTCAGCGTGTTTAACCGTATTTCAACACAATGCATCTGGTCATCATGTTTCACACGATTTTCCATTGTGTAATTTGACATGTCTCTGCACAGAGTGTTTCATTATTGGGCGTGTTTCAACACCAGTTTCAACAACGTAAGTTTCCAAAGTGTGTTTGTACATCTTTCTAGTGTTATAACACCATTTTCCTCAACGTGTTTTCAGACCTTTCTGTTCAACACCATTTTCCTGAGTGTATGTTTTACATCTCTCTGAGCGTATTAACACAATTATCCTTCGATCCCTTTATCACCATTCTTCTAAGCGTGTATTAACACAACTCCTCAATTTACACATCTTATACTTCAAAATGTTTACATCGCGTCAGGACAAGCAACTGTTCCAATAATCCCAAAACAGAGGATACAATGAAAACCAGTAACCCACAGAAACCGGTATCTTCACATGGCTCTTAAGCACACACCACTTCTTGAGATAACTGTTCATCAAATGCTAAACGTTGATCGTTCGTCACATCCTGGCGTGTCTACTTCAGACGCATGCCAACGTTATAACGAATAATAACAAGTCAATGATAAACGACCTGGTCGTAAAAATGCAGTGTCACTTGTGCTAATCACAAACTGTAGAAACCTCCTCTCCTCCCACTGGAGTGAAGTGCTTTCCTAAAACTGCTAATAAAGACACCCATCTCCTAAACGATGCCATATTCCACATGACTGCTTTTACTGGTTGTTAAAGTAGTTGACCGAGAAGCGTTAGAAAGAGAAAAACAAGTCGTATTTTATAGTGTTAGGATTTCGTCCTTGTTTGAATCCTGATCTCTCATATTCCGAGTGCGGGTTATAAATACCCTATAACGTTGTTTCGTATCGATCTCACTCGTACGGTTTCATCGGCAAGACCGGAAACGAAGGTAATTGGCGAAATAGAACGCCCACAAACGTTGTGCTTATTTCATCAGGCATTGTTGGAGATAAGTTGTTGCAGAATAGGACAGGTTTCGCCATGACAACGAGAACAGTTTTCAACATGCCAATGATTGAAGATATATGCTGACGCTTTCATTTGTCAATGTCTTGAATTGAACATACTATCATGATGTATTGATACATCGGTCAATTGAAACACTATCAGAACGGTGCAAGAACGTCTTCAGACTTTGCGGTAAAACGACGACGCCAAGAACCTTTTTTTTCAAATGAAATATATAAAAAATGTCCACACAATTTCTTCCTGAATTATCTTTGAAATTGCATGCATTTATTTTATTTTCAAACTTAAGAAATGTCAAACGTGGCAAAATTAAAAGTTCGTGCGACAATTGGTCACATGAAGAAGTAAACATTTTATTGTTTGATTTCTACGAATTTTTATGATTTTGTTTAAACAACAAACAGATGGAATATTTTTAATATTTTTGGTCTTTCAACAATTCTGTAAAAAAGTCAAGCTTTGAGTGGAAGATGAATAAAGTACCATGGTTGTATAAAGTTTCTGTTAATCCGCAGAATACACACAGTTTATATTAGAATCTTCGTCACCATAGCAACTGTCGCTTAGCTGTTCATGATAATATTTTGTACGAACCTTACCAATGAACGTATTATTTATGAAATGGCAATATCTGATTCATTTTAAACACATGTGGTCTTTACAAAGGTCTGTGTAGTATATTGGAGATCTTATTCCTCTGTGTTGTCTGTGATAAATTGCTGTGACAGTCCTGTTTTAACAGCAAATATTCAATTGCCATGTATTGGTTTAATACTCTGTAACAAACCATGACACACAAAGCTTTTATCAACCACAACTGCCAACAAACATTTAAAATAGCTTTTAACTTTCTTAACCATTCACCTCAGTGACCACATTCTTGATTTATTGGATAGACCGTCTGAGGAGCGGAAGTTCGGTGGTTCGATTCCCGACCGCGTCATACCAAAATACGTTAAAATATGGCACTTGTTGTGAACTTGTCTGGTGCTCGGCATTAAGGGGCTAAAACAAGTTCTTGTCGGCTTGGATTCAGTATACTGTGTTGAGTGGGATATGTGTAACTGAAGCACGGTATCTCAGGGGGCCAGTACTATAAAACCGACATTAGTCCGGACTAGTACAAGGAGCTTCACACTCGTGCATGCATGTCACTATAATAGTGCAATAATCTTAAATTCGACGTCAAACCACATTTAATCTCAACTCCAACGTATTTCTGTTCCATTTTAGACAACTCCTCTGAAACAGCACGGTTTATGATGGCGAAACTTAGTATGGATGATCCATGCAATGATCTAAACTTGCTCATCTGATTTTTAAGCAATTTTTAGCCATATCTGCTTATCCTCTTGATCGTCACACACTCCCATGTAGCTAGATTTACTGCTCATCTACAACCTCTGGCGTTGCAAATGAATTATAATAAATTTTGATTTGCCAAGACCTTGCATGAATGATCCTTGCATTAATGTTTTAATGGGGACCTCTCCCAGGAAGCGCTGGCGAGTCGAACCCACCCTGAACTTTTCGGAAAATGTGAAGACTCCCCAACACTGCAGCCTTCTTCATTACCCAGGTTGTCAGAAGGGCTGTATGTCTGGCAATAAACCCGGATACTCTCCTAATGTCATTCAACAGATTGGGAGGTAGCAAACCTAAGGCATAATTTCATTGGATTTGTGAAAAAGGACAAGATCAGGTTTGTTGGCCTGGATAGGTCTGAGGCTGTATACGGGCATATTCCAAAGGATTTTGTATTTATCATTTCCTTGACGCCCTCTATATATCCTTGGTCGTATTATGGATGGACCTCTGTGTCAAAACCACAAGTTAGGCGTCCCCTAACCGTTCCAGGATCGGTCGTGGATTCGAATTTCAAATTTCCTCGATTATAAACTTTGGTCTGTCACCATCTTATCACGTACACTGCCTGCCCCACTGTGAACCTTCCTCTAACCCTAAGTTGCCACACCATGACACAACATTGTTCAAAGCGTATTCCTTAGTCTGTATAAAATATATACATTGACTTATTCTTTCATCACGTTTTACCAAATTATTTCTAAAGGAATATTAGGGTATTTAAACATAACGCCACCCTACTAGTAGGTAAGGCTATATGACACCTTACACAAGCAGTTAAAGACCCAGGACGCTGATGCAGATTGGCTATAAAAGATGACATCTAACACAATTAAGTCACATCTCTCTCGAGAAATAGATGTCTGAAAGCTGTCTGCGTGGACCTCAAAGCCCTATCACTAGCACATGGCGATAGAAGCTGACAAAGTACCGTCCATCATCACAAACACACCATCAAGACAGATCCGTCGTCTCAGAACACAGGAAAGATTATGCCAAAGTGACACAGTCAGTACGGCAATTAAACAGAGTTTGACAATATGGCTCTGGTGTAGTCCCCCCAATGCTGGTATTAACACAGTTCCCTTTGATGGAACTGACGTTTTGTCCGGTCCGCCGACGGACTCGTGTGTCACTGCCAAAGCAATAATAGTTCATGTCCTGCTCAAAATGTCCCCATCCGTTAACTGTTGTAAATCCCCCGGCTTCAATCACAAGAGTCTTCTGTTGAGGTCTTGGAAACTTCATTTTAGACGTAGTCGTCAACGATGCAACGACATCATGCACGACTTTATAAGGCTTTGATCTCTTTCGATTGTGCTCAAAGTGACATTGTTCTCTACAACCGACTCTTTCATGTCATCAACAAGCAAATACAATTACTTTGAAAACTTCATTTATTAAATTAAAAAGCTCGAGACGTGTAAAACCTGACAGCCGTTGTACGACTTCAATCGGATTAAAACTATAAGACAGAAACGTTAATGACTTGGTTTTAAAATACCAAAGGAATATTTTGTCTGATCTATATTAATTAGTTTTAATTGAAAATATTAGTTTCACTCCATGGAAGAAAGGAAATCATTCTGATTGATTTTCTTACAGGTACGTGTGGCAATACAGAGAGTACTGTGGAGCTCTCCCATTGTACAGTTGATAACGTGGGCAATTATGATTGGCACTTCTTAGATCGCTGAACATCCACAAATGTCTTTTCTATTCAGGGACACGCAGGAAACAACAATTCGTGCTCCTTAGCTGTTAACATCGGCTGATCGGGGATTGGAATTCCAGAAGGGGCCCGATTATGATCTGCAGTGTCCTGTTTGATTCAAGTCTTTCCAACACCACTTTGTTTTGTCTGCTGTCTTAAATTGCATGCTGTTGATCATTACACTATTACCCTAATTGCACCGAGAAATGGTTCAATTACAACGTCTAGACTTAGACTGGAAATGGGCACTAGAGAGTATAACATAGTTCCCTTTAAGCATCCTGGCACGCTTTGATATAGGTGAAAATAATGTTCAATGCTGCGTTAAACTTTTAAAATTGACTCCTTTCAAAATGTCTTTGTATGCAGGATATTTTCAACACTTGACATAAAAGATGGCTCGGTTACAACTTTGTTTTCATCGACTAAAGAGAGACGTATTGTGTTTTGAGGGCAGATGATGTTTTGGGGAATAGACCAGTAGCAGTTACGACGGTCGTAGCGCTTTGGTCGTTTTGTACCGAATGGACCATGAATTTGAATCGAAAATTTCAATACTTCAATAGTGAGGTTCACATTTTGTCACAAAAGAAAATGTTCAAAAGAGGACAATTAAGTTTGAAACCACATTTCAGTAAAAATGTATTCATATAAATAATTGTAGAAAGTACAATGATGAGAGCCGGTGTTTTCATAATCCAATTTTCAGTAAATCAACATGAGTGTATTGCTGATGCTGTAGCAACAACCCACTATATTCCAATATTACGTGTTAAAGCCACTTGCTAATAGGAGTACATTATTTTCAGGAAATAAATAAATAAATAAATATTCGATTCCCTCATGAGTACAATATGATTCCCGTTTGTCCGGAAACCGGAAATGTCCAGCTAATGATGTTATATTTATCTTTTCCAGAAATGCTCAGATTACGAGGTATCCGACAAGAAACTTTATCCGACATTCGCCAGGACATTTCCCCCCGCGACTCAAGTGACGAAATCTATTATCTCTCTCCTGCTGCATTTTCATTGGCACCGCTACACGCTCGTCGTAGGATCGTCACACCAGGATCAGACATTTGCCGACAAACTTTCGGAATTGTCGAAGCGTCACAACATCACCATCAACAAGCGGATGAAGTATAAAGAGCCTCACATCCCAGTCATTACAGGAAATCCATTCCCTGGCATCGTAGATGAAACCTATATCGGAACTAGAGGTAGGAGTATCACACTTATTTATGGTCGACTCCGGATGTATCGAACTCCAAGGCTTCTAGGTTCGTTGTATTCGAAATCCATTATTCTTAAACAATTGTTATTGTAATGGGGACCATTCGAAGAGATGAACTGTCTTCTTAGTTGTCTGGATAAAAGGTAGGGTTGATTTCCATTAACAGTCGAGTGAAAAATACATTCGCTGTATCCGAAATTCGCTAGTCCTGTTAACATTCTTAACACTATTTGTAACTGCACGACGAGCAGGACTAGCTGTATTTCGTCATTAGCGAATTCGACTCATCCGGAGTTAACTGACAGTATTGTTTCCGATTATATATTCATTGACGTTGACATATAGACCGGGAAAAGTTCGCATCGCATACTGGTTATTCCCATATGAAATAGACATTTTTAAGACCGCATCCTGTATAAATTTAATTGTCTGATAGTAAATGTATTTTTTCTTCAGGTGACATACTCAAAATGAAATGCACAAACCGAAAACGATTGACTAATGACATGCTTGTACCCGTTTTATGGCAATAGTTAATTCACAGCCCTTTCAAGTACTTCCTATGCTTTTTGGAGTACATGTATATGATGTGACCCAGTGCTGGCGACTCTCTGGAAGAACGTGAACATTTCCTCGGGTCACAGTGGTATCATTGCCATGGGGTGCATGGTCAGTGTCTTAAGTCAATATTTACAAAAGACACATAGGAAGATAGGTGGCGCTTAGTTTTTTATCCAAAGGAATCCCATTACGGCCATTCTTGCTGTTGTTGAAAATTCCTGATTCAATGCTGAATTTCACGGTGCTATGTTGAAAATTCAAGACACTTTGCAATAATAATGTTGAAGTATTTATTTATTATCTTAATTTTCGACACGGTGTCATAAATGTTCAACATACTATATTAGTATCTTGATTTTCAGATTAGTATCTAAATCGTGCAAGAAAAATATATATGGCACTAATGGGCTACCGTATATTTCAGATGTATATAATATTAAACTTTAAGTATAATTGTGAATTCACCTTTCTTTAATGTCGTATTTGTTGACCTCATGTGTGACGATGCAAGCATATGTGTGGTCAGTGTTCTAGGTGAAAGGTTAAAACGCCTGCTCGTCCTGCAGAACATCGAGTTCGAATCCTAACTTGCAATGCGCCATGCCATGTCATAAATATCTCATCTGATATTGATGTCATATTGACCAAGCCTAACATGTCTTTTCTTTACCAAAAATGTACAACGGAGTTCTTGACCCTCGTTGGTACTGATTGACCTTCGTCGCCGTTCACATTTCCTTCCAGCTTTATCTGGTTTAATGGCATGAAGATGATTCATACTCTGACAGATTGGAAATGTTGTTTTTCCTATCAATTATGTTTCTTGAACGACTCGAAGCATTCTGAAGGGACATCATAGTTTTAAGAACACAGGGCAGGCATGACCTTGACCAACCTGAATATCAGTTTAACACAGTTTGTATAATCCACGAGTTGTTCTAAATAGGTTTCCATGACAATCTATAAATAAATTTGCATTTTAAGGTGAAATCATGTTTACATTTTCTCTTTTGGCAGTAAAGCTGCTTCTATTTTTTTCTCGGTTTACAAACATGCTCGTACGTTTCCTTTAAGTTTCCAGAAATCGCTCCAATCTACATTTTAATATGGCTTTAAACTCAATAGCGACACGCATTATGTTTTTTCAACATAATTACATCATATATCAAATAGCACTTGGGCAGGACCACTCTCAATGAGAAAGGCCTTAATTCGATTCAAATGTCTTTGATTTTCCTTCGTTCTATTTTTATGAATGAGCCTGTAGAAAATGCTACGTCTCTCCCATTTGCATTTACATTAGCTTTTTCAAAAATAGGCAGTTTCCAGACCTTCTTTGATTGCTGTGTCTTAGTTACATTCCCAAAATATATGGGTCAACGCTCTATTGACAAGTGACGTATTACGTTCTAAGAACGACATTTATCTCAATCAGCTGTTCGTTAAGAATAAATGAGATATTAAATGAAATGGTATTGGTATCCTGTTTGTTCGATATATAAATGGTCACTTTGCATTTATCATTTACTATGAATTAATGACTGGATTGTAACGGTAGGCAAAGTAACCTTCTTTGTCTGTTGAAGACGCTTACCAAGGTGAAGATTTTTATGAGAGTTTGTATTTGATGTCTCTAGAATAATGAAGCCTTACCAGTACATCGGATTGTTTGAAATACAGTTTTGTATCATGTGTATGACTCCGCGAAAGCTAACGCTAATCAATGCATCAAAGAGTTCCAATATTCAAGTTCATTCGCTTCAGTTTGATCTTAAAATAAGGTATGTAGCTGATTGTCGAGATGAAAGCTGTTTATATGGTTTTGAGGATCTCTATGAATATTTATAAGAAGCCAATTCCTATTGACAAGTCCGTTGCCAGGGGCAGGTTGCTTGTATTTCTGGTACTTGTCCATATCCGTCGGTTAATGGCATAATGTTGATTGTAGTAATTCATTTATGTTCTTTAGACCGTCGTTTCGCACTGACTTCCTTGTCTCAAATTTCACCAGAGAGACAATAATCGAGTCTAGACAGTAAATCAGTGGTCGAAACCATGTAGAATAACCTACGTCATCGGGGTGTGATGACACGCACTCTGTCACGTCACCGGGACTGGCAACGTTCGCACGACTTTTGCCGGCTTTTAGGTTGAGAAACACAACAGCGATTATCGACACGAGTCAACCAGGATAGATTTGGTATCAACAGAAATGTTTTAAATAGTGTCTACCAACGTTTCTATTTTGAACATCGCTCCATATTTTACATGGAAGTTACGATATTAAAGAAAATATGCTATCCATCTAATAGCCTCAAATGCAGTCGACCTTATAGGATTGTCAGAGTGAGTGAGTAAGTATGGTTTTACGCCGCTTTTAGCAATATTCCAGCAACATCACGGCGGGGGACACCAGAAATGGGCTTCACACATTGTACCCATGTCGGGAATCGAACCCGGGTCTTCGGCGTGTCGAGCGAACGCTTTAACCACTAGGCTACCCGACCGCCCCTATAGGATTGTCAGAGAAAATCAATGAATTCGATGATTGTGTACAGCAATGTCATGTGGATGTAATACAAAAACAATAATAATCAAAGAACTGGCAACGTCAGGTTAATGGGAAAGTATAATTATTGTTTCCGGCATCCCAAAGATGGCACCACAGTCATGGTCACAAGAAAAGACGAAGGTCAAATGATGCCATTGATGTGGAAGGTCTGCTGCCCTCCTTCCAGGAACCATAATGATTGTAACTGCACAAAATAAGAACAAGACAATTCTCTGTGTCGCTGAAAGCATTCAAACGACGCTAGCAACTTTTGCTGATGGATGGGTCTACAAACAGTAAGAGGCCACGTCTTGACTAGAGAGTAGTTCTTGATATTGCTTTCAAACGTTTGGCAAAACCAGAAACAGACTCCACTAAATCAGAAAAAGACCTCATTTTCCTGAATTTGGAATTTGTAAACAAGTGAATCGATGCTTTAAGCTTGAGTAACATTTTCAGACACACTTCAGTTCCCTAAAGGTCCTACAATATTTCAAATTCTAGACACCACCAACAGTGTCAATTCCTATACGAACACCATCTGATCCAAGTTGTTCAATTATAGGAACGTGTTGCCAAATGTTGCAGCTGAGAGTGTAACTTCTGCTACTTGTGGTGATTCAAATATGGCCCAATATATGGTGAACACCCTGCTTCCAACTGGGATCACAAAACATAATTATGGATGCTGTCGTAACTTACGCCAAAAGGTGCGCCAGTAGAGAAGATGAACCTGTTGAATGTCTTGCAGGATTAAGTCTGTGAGTGATGTTGTCAATGGTAGAATGCACAAACTGAAAAAGAGAAAACAAAGTTGGAATCAGCCCATCTGTCCCGGTCAAGCTGTCATCCAGAGAATAGCTGCCCTACATGAAAAGTTTGTAGTTGTCCCCACTGACAAGGCCTGAAATAACATAACCATTATATGTAAGTATCAATATATCTCTGTTTGGTCAACTTACTTGGTATTAGTGGCATATCAAAGAATGCCACATATAAGACCAGTAAGTTAACTGAGGAAGACATTTGCCCAAACGCATCAGTAATATCAACTTTGGTTTGACTCTAAACCTGAAGAATTATCCATTCCACTTTTGTACTGGATTCCAAGCATCCATAAAAATCCGTACAAGGAGAGATATATTGCTTTCTTTATACTCGCAGACAGTGAGACAAGTGGAGTTAATTCCATGTGGATACTCAAAAACTCAAAGGATTTGTTTGGGGTTTTTTTTGCAACCTCAGAAAACCATTTAATTATGTCAAGACATTTGATATTTCATTTTTGTACTCCACTGTCCCACACGACAAACTTAAAGAAAAAAATAAATTCCTTGACCCATGAGGCTCTCTGTCCCCACCGGCAGCAGTGACGACACTATGACCACGTGATTACTGGTGACCGCAAGTCCACGACTATGTCACTCTCAGCATTCAAACTCTGCTTAAATAGAATGTCTCGCAAATCTTTATGATTTCTTGCACCGTGTCTATTTCAAATCTGTTAGAAGTTGCAAGAACAGGAAGTCATGAAACATGCATGACAACTCATTTGTTGATGGGTCCTGAATGTATTTTTCAATAAATCCTTTTTCATCGATACGTTGTTTTGGGAATGCGTTTCTGATCAATATGAGTCATATATTAGTGCAACTCAAAGTTTAAGAAAAGTTCTTTTGGAATATGTCAGTCCATGCACACTGGAACTTAGGTAAAAAAACCATGATACTCGTGGCCTTTTCCTGTTTCACGACCATCGATACACTGTGACAGCCTTGTATCATTGTCGGTTTGGTTCTACAGCAGACAACGCTATAATCACGTTAGGAAGCTGTACATCCATGCTCAGTCATAGTGAACTTTCCCTTCATGTC